ATGATCTAAACGCCGCCCGTGGGGCTCGAACCCACGACCACAAGGTTAAGAGCCTTGCGCTCTACCGACTGAGCTAGGGCGGCTGAGATCTTTGTTATACTTTAATTTAAAAAACAATAAGCTGTGCACACATGTGCTAATGGCCAGATTTTTGTCGACCAGGGTACTTAGGGATTCGGGTACGAGAAAGATCGGTACTGAGGGTTTCAAATGGGTTCTTTCGCCAAAACGGACCCACGGATGTTGGCCGAACTTCTGGGTTCGGCGATTTTAGCTGCTTCGTTCTCGTTCAGTCGCTGATTCTGTGGGGTGACGGAAGTATTAGGGGAATCCACTTTCAGCAGCGCCTCTCAGTTCTGTGTTTCGAGCTTTTTCCAGTAAGCACGAAGATGGCGGTGATTGAGGAGCATCAGGACGAACCCGTCCAAATCGAGCATCGACACGAGTCCGAATCATCCGCAAATGAGCCTGAGATAGTAGCATCTGCGTTCTCGTCTGGTTCTTCGCTCGCGGCTGCTGCTGCTGCTGGCAGGAGCGGCGAAGGCGGAACAGGCGGAGAAGCAGAGGTAGTAGGGGAGGAGCAGCCGCCTGTTGTGTTGGGGAGGGACGACGGGGAGGATGTTGGGGAAGGCGTGCGGAAGGTGGTGGTAAAGGAAGGGAACAAGGAGAAGGGGTCGCCTGACGTCGGCTGCACAGTCTTCGGTGAGAGTAGCCTTCAGGCTTTTCCGTCTCAATCCGTCACATTCCGTTTCCATTGTTAATCGCTTACATTCCTGATTCCGTCCAATCGTTGTCGCGTGCCCCAGTCTCGAACCCGTTCTTCTGTCCTCGAAAAACGGAATTGACATCGAATCAACCTCGCTGTTTGACTGTCTTACTTGTATCAGCGGGCTTTCCCCTCATCCTCTACTCCAGAGTTGCCCCAACCCTATAAGCTTTTTGTTAGCGCCCTTTGTCCTTGTCATTCCGCAGTGCACTACCGTGCGTGGCTGGAAAATACCGAAGCCAACGAGGAGAAAGGCGATGGGGATGCGGGCGAGGAGCGGAATGAAAAAGATGGGGAGGGGAAAGAGCAGGAGAGGCAAAAGGAGAAACGGAAGCATGCGAAGGTGTACGACACGTGGGATGAGGGCCAGATGACTGAGCTGATTCTGGGACATGGTAAGGCGTGCATGGAGAAGCGGACACTAGGAGAATGGCTTCTATTCTACGAGAGGAATTGTGTGGCGGAGTGGATCCTGCACTCGATTCCTCACTAGGAGATATGTGCACGCACGGCACGCTCATATCTTCAGCAAGTGTGCTGCAACAAGAGATTCCTGCCTGGTACTGCTGGTTTCCAACTGTTCAGCCTCTCTCCTCGGTTCAAAACCTTTCCCATACCTTATCATCCCGCGTTTCTTCCTGACTTTCCAGAGAAGGCAGAGCTGCGTGGGCTGTCACTGGGAGTGCGGTCAATGCATCCTGGCGAGAGGTGTGTGCTGCGAGTGCCGTCAGCGCTGGCGTACGGCAGCCAAGGCTGCTTCTCCTTCCCCCACGTGCCCCCCAACTCGGACCTCCTGTACGAAGCAAAGCTCGTGGGCTTTGAAAAGCCGCCGGTAAGTCAGGAGAGGTGTGTCGATACTGTGATCGCATCACTGTTTGAGAGTTTCGAGGGTACATGTTATCAATTAAGCTGCTTCGTTGCGAGAAGCATAGAGTCCCTGTTTGGTCACGTGAACTGTCTTGAACAGTCAACATCGATGTGTAAATGATGAAGATTTCCATGCACGTGTGTGTGTAACGGTGTGCAGGGTGGTGCAGATAGGGCGCGAGATCGCTCGCAGATGACAGCAGACGAGAGGATAGAGGCGGCTGACAGGCACAGGCAGGCTGGCAACGAGGCGTTCAGAGGGGACAACATGGAGGAGGCATTGCGAGAATACGAGATGGTATGGCAGGGCTGTAAGTGCGAGTGAGTATTGAGTTGGATGTGAGTGCATTCATGGTGAATGATCATGGGTGGTGTGTGATATGGAGCGATATTGTGAGGTTGTAGGCATGTGCGTTGGACTAGCAATAAGCACCTTGCTGCCTGTCTGTAGCTCATTCTCACTCTCAACAATTTTTTTCATGCTTATGTCTCCTGCTTTTTCCCATGTGTTTTTCTGTGCACAAGGCGTTGGGATACATGGGAGATGAGTTTATGATGCAGATGTTTGGCAAGTACAGGGACATGGCCAATGCTGTCCGCCTGCCAACTCTGCTCAATTCTGCTGCCGCTCACCTCAAGCTCAACAATTATAATGAGACAATCGGCCTGTGCACGTTGGTACGTTATTGTCTGATGCCTCTCTAGCCAAATGAGTTTTTGTGCCCTTCTCGTAAGTGCATGCACCTTCTTATGTTTTATGTGATAAATGCATGCTCTTTTGTTCCTCTGTGGTAAGTGGATTCTCTTTTGTCACTCTGTGGTAAATGCATGCCTTAATGCATGCCTCGTTGTGGCGAATGCATGCTTTTATGTCCCCTTCTTGACATTGCCTTTACGCGTGAATGTGACTTATTCTCAAGTTATTTGCCATGGTGTCCTGGGTTTCAGTGGACTTGTCTTTTTCCTTAGCATGACATTGCCGCTCAGGGAAAGTTCATGCTGCCACCTTTTTTTCCACCCATATCCCCTGTGACGTGAAATCCGTCTGCTTGTCCTCCTCCAGGTGCTTTCGGAAGAGCCAGACAACCCCAAGGCCCTCTTTCGCCGGGGCAAGGCACGCCATGCACTTGGACAGATCGATGCATCGATGGCCGATATCAAAGCTGCTGCCAAACAGGCCCCTGGTGATGCTGCTATTGCTCGCGAGCTGGCAGCTTTGAAAAAAGCTGAACGAGAGGCATTGGAAAAGCAGAAAGAGATGTTTAAGGGTATTTTCAAGCCACAACCAGCACCACCCGTTGCAAACACGAGGATGCAGTGGTTGGGTGCAATTTGGCAATACGTGTGTGCAGTGTTTAGTTGGTTTTGGCCTTTTGGAAAGCGGAAGACTGATTAGATTGATCTAGTGAGGACATGTGACTTATGTATTCAACATGTGAACAAAATCTTGATCAAGAGGAATTTATGGAGTTAATCAAGGGTCTGTTTAACACATTTGATTTATGTTTCATAATATGCGCAAATTGGATGCAGCTCTGTATCAAGTACAAAGTTTGTCAGTCCGTTCAAGTTCTTCCGCGGTGCCATCAACACTTCAAATCTTGCAAGGAACAGCTCCAAGGAACGACTCCAAGGACATGCTCTCGCCATCATTCTGAAACCATGACGCCTGAAAGTCGAAGTCCTTCGAAAAATGGATCGGCTTCTCCCAAGGTCAGGAATGCCAATACGCAGGTGGAGAGCGCGACATGTGCTCGCAAAGATAGTCCTCGACCGTTGAGGGAACGCCGTAACGTGAACATGTCGAACATTAGCGTGAACGACCGAGACATGCCAAAGGAGGTGGCGAAGAGGTGCGACTAATTTAAGATGCTTAGTAACCTTTTGTTACAACGTTTTAATAATTCTGTTTCATAGGGTGGAGGAAGAGAGCACAAAGGACGAGTTTAAACCTGATTCCCCAACGATCAGCCCGAAGTCCACGAAGGCCGACGACGCAGCTGCACTCCCTGGAAACGAACGGGTATGTCCCCTTAATGAAGTTGATAGTATGGGATTCAATTGCTTGATACGTATGCTTCATGTTTCAGGTCACCGTTGCATTGAGGATCCGGCCCTTTTCTTCAGAAGAGACAATGTCACACGGAAGGAAGGCATGTCATGATTTGTTATCAGCATGAACATGTTGCGACCCTGAGCTAATTTTCTTCGTCGTATTATACAGGCAATCGCTGTTTTTGGGAACAGAGTGCTGGTATGCGAGGACATGATCCCGGCAGAAAGCCCAAATGGACGAGGAAAGAGAGATGTAGAGAGCCCTCGCTCCGCTAATCATGAATTCACTCTTCACTTTGTTCAAGATGACAACCTTACGCCACCAACGGATCCAGCTATGGCTGACAACTTGCAATCACGGCTTTTCGAGGTCCTGGGATCTCCATGTCTCAAAGCTGCACTCGAAGGCTACAATGCCACTGTAAGGATTCACTGCTATTTCAGGCGACTGGACATAACAGTTCTAAGCTGTAATGAAGTATTTCTATTTCAGGTCTTCGCTTATGGTCAGACAGGGTCAGGGAAGACGTACACGATGATGGGTGACGGGACATCCGCAGGGAAAGGAATGGTAGGGTTTGCATTTGACTCTGCTATGTCTTAAGAGCACATATTGACCACCATTGTCATTGCAGGTTCCACGGATTGCGTCTGCACTTCTGCAAAGAATGTCATACCTGTATCATGGCGATCCAGAATGCCACGTTCAAGTACGTGGAGACTCGTTTCTGCATGGCTGCAATTGTCATACCAACACTTTTTTTATTTGTTTCAGGTGAGCTTTCTGGAGATATATCAAGAGAAGATAAGGGACCTTCTGACCAGCAAGCACCCTGCACATTCCGGGACCAGTGCAAGTGAAGCATTTGCTGCATCTTTCACTCACAGTGAACAGCAGTTGTCAGCAGAGGAACATGCTAGTAGTAAGGAGGGCGCTATGTCAGACTTTCACTCACAAGCTCAGAATTCAAAGGATCAAAACGCTTCACCGATTCGTTCGCCAAAAAAGGCCAAGCATTCAACAGAGCATGCTCCAGCATCACCAGCATCTCCCAGGATCCCAGCATCCCCTCGCTCACCAAGGTCGCCTCGGTCTCCATCCATGTCACCTCTCTCCTCACCAAATGGTGCACAAGAGAAGCTCAAGATCCGAGAACATCCCAAACTAGGTCCTTATGTGGTTGGCTTGACACGACGCTTTGTAACATCGTGGGAGGAGATGAAGGATGCTCTGGCAGAAGGACATTCGAACAGGACCTTCGGAGCTACTGACATGAATCAGAAGTCAAGTCGAAGTCACACGGTTTTCACCATGACAATCACCCAGGTCTGTTGCAATAGTCTGCAACTTCTAGATCTCTATCACGATTTGTCTCTGATGTTGTTCCATCTCAGAAGGTGAAGGGGCAGGACGGTCTGGACAGCCAAAGGACGAGCCAGCTTAACATGGTTGATCTCGCTGGTAAGACCATCTTGACATTACTTGCAGTGTTAGGATTGCAAGTTCACCTTTGACCATAGGATCCCAGGAAGCGAGCGACAAGCTCGCACACATGCGAGCGGGCAGAGGCTTAAGGAGTCAGGCTACATCAACAGGTCCCTGTCTCTCTTGAACAATGTAAGTATCAGATATTATTCTTCCTGTCTGAATGATACTATTGTTGTGTTAAAATGCTGTGTGTGAATAATACTACTCTTTCTATATGCAGGTGATAACACAACTGTCTCAAGGAAGTGATTTTGTGCCATATCGGAATTCCGTTCTGACCTGGCTGCTTAAGGAAAGCCTTGGAGGAAACAGCAAGACAGTGATGATAGCCAACATCTCACCTGCCTTCGAGGTATGTGTTTGGTGGCAATAGTTTACCAGCATTGCTTTGTCGATTGAACAGCCATTGACTCAGAACTGAGTTGCAGGATTTGAGAGAGACACTAAGCACTTTGCGCTATGCGAATCGTGCTAAGCGTATTCAGAACAAGCCAACTATTAATGAAGATCCAAAAGACTTGACTATCCGCTGCCTGATGTCCGAAGTGAAAACTCTCCGGAAAATGGTGGAGTCCTTGGCATTGCGGGCCTCTTTTCATCCTTCTGTTCGGCTCCGTAGCGTGGGAGTTCAGGTAATATGAGGACATTTTTTGTCATTCCAAATAGTCTCCGTTTGTTTCTTACAAGTAAAGAATTTTACAGGTGCCAGAGTCACCAAATGAGACGGATTTATGTCTGGCCATCAAGCTTCCTCAGAAGCGTGACAGCTTTGCTTTTCGAGAGCCGTCCTCGGCATCACTTGCACTCCCGTTCACGCCGCTTTTCCCAAATCCTTTTCCAAAGCCACACGTGTTAGCGATTCCGGACAGCCAGTCTGAACCTGCTCCAAAGAGAAGATCTAGTGCGATTGAGAGGGTGCTGTCACTTGGCATGACCTCTCAGGTGGTGCAAAAGAGTGCCGTAAGTGAAGCCTCTTCAAGCCCAATGCTCGTCCATGGAGGTAAAACTTCCGCTCAACTTCAGCAAGTTAACACCAGAGGCGGAACAGAGAACATGAAGCCTTTCATTTTTGGAGAGTGCCCTGCTGGCAGCGTAACTGTTGCTAGTAATGCATCAAAATCCTTGACCGCGCTAGATACTCAGACAGACACGCTGATCAAGAAGCTGACAGATGTCCTTAAGAAGCCACGCATGACTTCCAACTCCACCAAGTCGGCCAATCCTGAGTCCACTCAGATGTCATATCCATTCTTCGTCCCGCTGTTGCTATCAGATGATGATACCATCTCGGAGATTGTCACAGGTAAGCAAGAACTTATACATTCTTCTGTGGCTACCTTTGGTCTTGTGTCCTTACATTTTCTCCTCAATGTGAGCAGGTGTTAAGCATGTGCTTCAGCCAGGGGTAACGAAGATTGGATCCGGCAGTGGAGCTGATATCCATGTTCCCAGCCTCTTGGAAGATCATTGTGAGGTCCTCCACATACCTGGTCGGCAGAATGCCAGTGGTCACAAGACAACCACTCGAGTCAGCATTTTGGTGTATGGAAATGCTATGGCAAGTGTTGATGGAAGGCCACTGCAACGCTATGCAGTCCTGGAGCATGGCTGCAAGCTAAAGCTAGGTGTTGGCAAAGGTGCCATCATCTTTCACTTCTTTGATCCAAGCAAAGAGGAACAGTGAACGTGGCAACGGACGAAGCCATGGTTGGGGGAGGTTTGGTTACTGAAGGGGAGTTGGCATGGAGTGAAGCAGGAGGAGATGGCAATAAGCACTGACAATGTGCATGATTCGTAGCTGGGTTCTTTTTCTTGATCAACAATAAGCACACAGTGCACAGATTATTTGACTGAGTCCATGTGTCGTCCAAAGTGAAGATACTGCAATCCTGCCTTGAACTGTTCGATATACACACAGCATACTCTTGAGGCCAAGGTGAATAGGTCTAATAAGAACTTGCTCACTCTAATAAGATCAGAATTGAAAGCGAGGCTATGTATGAGGCCATTTCATTTCAGTTGCTTGCAGCTCTTCACTGCTGCAAGCAGAATGCCATCGATAATGCTCCCAACAGATTTACTACGCCAAGCTGCACACAAAAAGTCAGAGAAACAAGTACCGGACATATCAACTCCACATGTGCTGTCTTGAAGAGGTCATGGAAGGAACTTCACATTCGTGGCAGAGAGACCGCTTTCTGTCACACGGGGAAGTTAGAGCTTACCAGCAAAACCATAGCTGGAACCGCGCCAGATGCCACGAGAGCACAGAAACTGAAGAAAAGAAACTGCAAACAGTCACCACGAGAAAGCTTAGCACAACAATGGACCTGCGGGTAATGTTTCTTGAAGGGATAGTGGTAAACTACGTAAGCACTTAGTGTTACTCACAATTCGACCGACAACAGTTGCCTCATAGAAGCCTCGGACCCCTGAACCATTTCTTTCACCCCTGGCAGCACCAATGTAGTAGATGCCAAACACCTGACCACATAACAGCACACTTATTGTAAGAAACCGAATGTGACAGGAATAACTGGAAACCTGGCTATACAGAAATGCACACAAGATGAACCCACCACGGCAAGAGTCCCCAGAACGCGAATCCATCCAGGTGTCAGTACATCACGGCCAAACAATAAATCTGGAACCCATATAGAGCAGGAATAAGATGAGAATGCAGTGTTAAAGTCAACAGAAACAAGCAATAGACAAATGTAGCAGAACACTAACAAAATGAAACACATGGTATATAAAAGAGCCATGATGAAAAAAAAAAAAAAAAAAAAAAAAAAAAAAAAAAAAAAAAAAAAACTGCAACCACAGGAAACTTCAACATACCAAACGTGAAGGTGGGAAACGTGAGAGCCATGGCGCCAGCCACACAAATGTACGTCCCCGTGACCAGCGAGGCCATGGCTGTCCGAGAGAGCTTCTTTTCCGCTGCAGCAGCGGCGGCTGGGGGAGGCTCCACATTCCATGAGACATCCATCAGGTGAGTGCTGGCCAGGTGTGCCATCACTGGATCCGCCCTCCCCTTCCCGTTCACCTGCACCTGCTTGTTCGGCCCGGCAGGCTCTATGCTGAGGGGGAGGAATACAAGAGAATGGAGGAAGTGGAAGGGGAAGTAGAGGAGGGAAGGGATGTGTTTGCTGGCCAGGTGTGCCATCACCGGATCCGCCCTCCCCTTCCCGTTCACCTGCACCTGCCTGTTTGGGTCAGCAGGCTCTATGCTGAGGGGATGGGGAGAAGTGGAAGGGGAGGAGGGAGCAGACGGGGGGAAGGGAAGGGAAGGGGAATAAAGAAGGGAAGGGGAGGGGTAGGGAAGGAGGGTTGGGAAATGGTTGCTGGCCAGGAGTGCCATCCCCAAATCCGCCCTCCCCTTTCCGTTCACCTGCACCTGCCTGTTGCCCCGATGTTCCCACCCCTACCCACCACTGGCTACCACTGACCACCGCACTGGGGGGTCCCGGGTGGATGCCCAGGGCAGGCCAACACCTTATTGCGCCTGCCTTTGCCCCACCACTGGCACCGCAGGCCACCACTGGCCACCATTGGCCACCGCACCAAAGCACCAGATATGCCCTGACTGATTGATAAAAGCAACTTCAGGGTGCCCTGCAGCCTTCCCCTGTGCGCCAGACACCACTTCAGTAGCAATCGCTACCACACTGGGCTCCATGTAAAGGGCCACCACCACACTGCTTGTAGCACTCTGAAAACTGTCACTGCGCCTGCCCTTGCCCTGCTGCTGCCACCGCTTCCCACCACTGCCCACTGTTTCCCAGTGCAGTAACGTACCATATATGCCCGGTCGAGTCAATAAATGCCACTTCAGGGTGCCCTGCCGCCTTCCCCTGTGCGCCTTGCACCACCTCAGTGGCAATGGCCACCACACTGGGCTCCATGCACAGAGCCACCACCACACTGCGCCGGTTCCCACCGCTCCCCGCATGCACCTTGCCTGCAAGCCGCCCGAGAACAATCACGTCCCCTGCTGCCCGCACCACCGCCCCTGGACTCACGTCCCCATACACCTGACAAAGGTTGGGGGAAAGGAGCGGGATGGGGAAACGGAGGGGAGCGAGGATCATCACTCCCTGCAAGCTCCTGTCCTGCCAATCCCTCCCTGCCAGCCGCCCGAGAACTATGACGTCCTCTGCTGCTCGCACCACCGCCCCTGGACTCACGCCCCCATACACCTGGGAGAAGGTTGGGGAACGGGAAGGGGGTGGGGAAAAGGAGGGGGGTGGGGAAAGGGAGAGGGATGGGGAAAAGGAGAGGATGGGGAAAAGGAGAGGAATGGGGAGAGGGAGAGGGGATGGGAAAGCGGGAGGGGAGGCGAAGGATCATCACTGCCTGCAGCCCCTTACTCGCACTCGCGCCCTTTACAGTCACACATCACCACCCTAAACGCACAATGACTATGTCATCGTAGCTGATTTCCTCTAACTGCCGGATACTCCTCTTGACGTACAAACACGACACGCCTCCTGCACACCTGCGCCCCCTACTCACAGTCACGCCACCCCTTTACAAGCACAGTCACCCCCCCCCTTAAACGCACAATGACAGTGCCATCATAGGTGATCTCCTCAAACTGCCTGATACTGCGCTTGACGTACAGACACGTCACGCCTCTCGCCTCCATCTGCCCCCGGCTCTTCCCCGTCTCCTCCAACCAATCCCTCCTCCCTCTCACCCCACTCTCCCCCTCCTCCTCCTCACCCACAGACCTCCCTCTCTCCTCCTCCGCGTACCTCTGTCCCGCACTCCTCGCTCTATCCGCTCTCTCCTCTGACCAATTCCTTTTTCCCTTCCTTGCTGCTGCTCTTGCTGCCACTCGCTCTGTTTTTGTGCTGCCTCCTCTTGCTGTTGCTGCTGCTGCTGTTGCTGCTGCTGCTGCCAGCTTTGTTGCTGCTCCTGCTGCTGTAGTAATCGCCGCTGCTCCTGCTGTTGCTGTGACGACTGTTGATCTTGATGTTGCCTTCGCTGTTGTAACAACTGTTGTTGCTGCAAAAGCAGCTGCTGCCGTTCCTGCCACCGCTGCTGCTCCCGTCGCCCTCCTGGAAACCATTGGTTCCCCGCTGCAGCCACCGAGACGTCCCTCCGTAAATTCCTAACTCCGTTTACTCCATCAATTCTATCATCGCCATTATTTCCATTTAGTTTCCAAACGCTATCGACTAATCTGGCGGGTTTGTCGTATCTAACTGGCCGCTTCGGTTTACTTAGGCAGTATTTATCAACGGTGCTAGTAATGGGTCTGTGTCTCAAATGGTGATCGGTCCCAAAGGCGGAACGCAGGACGTGCGAATTACTGTATACTCTAAGCGGCACGGGTCTGACAGTTACCTCCATTGAACCTGCAGATTTGCAACTAATAACGATTAGTCATAACGATTTGGTAGTAATAACGATCGATTGCGACTGCGACTTCTTGCAACTGTTCGCGACTATGTCCGCTATATGTGTAAGGACATGGCTTCATGGCTTGCCGAGTAAGCAAAGTTTATCCGTCAAGTAGCAAGCTACTATTTCTACGAGAAATTCTTCTCATCGCGTTACTTTCGGGCCCAAGATGTCATTTACGCCTTGCCTTTCTTTTCTCTTGTAATGGTTGGGTGGTGTTCTGACAGGAATACCATCACAGAACGTTCTGACAACGTGTGCGAAAGAAAACCAGCACATTCGGGTAACCAGCACGATTCGTGGGGAGTGTCGCCGCTGAGGATCTCAACAAGGACTTCGCGCTCAAGCAACCCATTGGACGGAGATGCAGCAGGAGCACAGGGTTTTTGGCGGGAAGGCTGCTGTTTTCTGATCGCGACTGCTTCTGGGAGGGAGGGGGGTGTCACGTCAAATTTCATTTTGTGCAGCAACAGCAACAGCCACTGTATTATGACAAAAAGCCACGGTTGAGTTACCCGTCGAGTGGGCAGCTAAGAATCTACTTTACTAGAATCCTACTCACAGTAGTCAAACTCAATGCTAGTTGCTTGTAAACCGTGTGCACTCACACCAAGTACAGAGTGAAGCAGCCACGCGGCTCACTCCAATGCGTGTCGACACCTAAATCAACGTGATTTTCGACTCGACTTAAGGGTCATCTGATCTCGCACAGGCCCCTCTCTCCTGGTTACCCGTCCCTTGGTTCCGCTTCGATTCAAGAGTCATTTCGCCCAGGCCCCTCCCCCCTGGTTACCCGCGCGGTAATGGCACGAGAAGGTGCTGCTGCGCGCCGAGCCTCGAACGCGCTTAAGGTGTCATTTCAGCCGTTCGATGTGGACTTCCATCCGACGGCTCACCTGCTCAGCGTCTCGTTCATCTCCGGTGTCGTGCAGTTGTAAGCGATGAGAGGGTGACGAGGCATCTAGGATTGGTGCGGGAAATGCAGGTTTTGTGACGTCACTGTTCAGATCAAAGGCGTGCAGTTTAGATTTCCGGTCGTGGGGTGCTTTCGTCGGCCATGGATTCCTGTGCATGAGATCGGATTTCTCGTTTAGGGTTTCCAGTTCAGGGATTCGTTTTAGGCTTAAATATCAGGGTCAAGGTTTTGGGCTTGAGATTTGAAGCAGAGGCGAAAATTTGGCTTTCACAATTTCACATGCATGGCTGT